AATAAAATAACAAATCAGTATAATCGGTTTAACCTGGGTCGCCGGTTCTCGGGTAGCTGAGCCGGGCCGGGGAGGTCCGATGAGAACGGATTCATCGGCCAGCCTGAAATGCAAGCTGCGCTAGTCGGCGACGGCTCTAATCCCCAATCTGCGGGCGGTGCGTATAAATCTAAATCTGCACGCAATTTCGCCTCTGTTCGCGATCAATATCTTCTCGATTCTCGCGCTTAGTCGGCTGATTGAGGCCGCCGTGGCCGAGAACTGCCTGGACCGGAGCGCGAGAGGCCAGGTTCGCCGGCGGATTAGAGAATAATATAAAAATTTTTGGATTTGTTTGGATTTTTGGTTTGGTTTGGTTAATTTTGAAAAATGTGGTATGGTTAGTTGTTAGTAGGTATATTAAAATAATATTTTAAATAAAATAATTAAAGTTGATTTGATGTAAAAGTATGAGAGAGATGATTTGAAGTGATGGTTAGTTAAAATTATGTGAGTGGATGAATAGTGAATTAAGGTTGATGTGATAGTGTAAGAATGATTGATTGATATTATTTAATTATATTAATAATATTAATGATAGTTGAGTTGAGTTGAGTTAAAGTTGAGTTAAAAAAATGAATGAATTAAAAATGTTTAGATTTTTTGGATAAGTTTTGTATCCAAGCATCCTTTAGAGGGCCGGTTATAAGCTCGAGGTCTTTTGCCTTCTCCTGTTGCTCTTTTTTCTATGTATATGTAAACAATATCACAAATTCTTTATTCTCTAAGTCATTATGCTAAGTTTAAAGAGCATTTTAGTTGTAAATAAATATGTAATGAGTAAATTAATCAAGTTTGAAGTTAATTAAATAATTTTGCTCATCAAATAACAATTAACTTCGTCATTTTTGTTGATCAAATTAGATGCTTTTGATAGTTGGTAAATAAAATTATGCTAATTAACACACATTTTGAAATTGTGAAAGCCACATTTTTTGTCCAATTTACCATTTATTTATTTATTATTTAGAATTTTTTTGGTTAAAATTGTGAAAATAAGAAATAAATAAATGTCAAACAGGACAAAAAATGTGGTTTTCATAATTTCAAACCGTAGATTGATTAGCATAATTTTATATACCAACTACCAAAAGTACATAATTTGACCAACAAAATTGATGAGGTTAATTGTTATTTGACCAGCAAAATTACTTAATTAAACTTTAAAATTGATTAATTTATTCATTACATATTTACTTACAACTAAAATGCTTTTTAAACTTGCCTAATGATTTAGCGATATCAAATAAAAAGAATTTGTGAGATTGTTTATATACCTGAAAAACGAGCAACAAGGAGGAGAAGACAAAAGATCGTGAACTTATAATCGACCATTTCACCTGAACATGTAGGAGAATTGATGAATTAACAATTAATTTTGTAATTAGTGGAAATTCTGCGTCTTAATTACTCCATACACCCCATCTTTTATAGGGAAAATTAGATGCTTGGAGTGGGTGGTAAAATAAAATAATGCTAATTAACAATTAATTGTGCTAGAACTTTTCTAATGGCGTCAAACAGCTACCGGCAGATACATATGGATATAATTTTGAATGACATTTGTAATTAATTACATTTTTCTTGTGAGATGGGATTTGAATTTGGTTTTGGTGGTTGTGATCTTCTGTTTTTTATTTATCGATCATGATTTTCGGGTCCCATTTCAAGAAACTGCATGTGCAGGTTAATCAACTTTTCATATATCTTCAATTTTCTTATACAGTAAAAACATAGTCCTTGATTGGTTATAATTATAAATTAAATGAAAATTAGATGCTTAGAGTGGTTGGTAAAATAAAATTATTCTAATTAATCCACAGTTTGAAATTCTCAAAGCCACCTTTTAACCAAAAAATACTCCCTCCTTTTTAAATTAGATGTCGTTTTGACTTTTTTGATTCATCCATTTTGCTACGTATCTAGACATATTTTTAATGTCTAGATACGTAGCAAAATGGATGAATCAAAAAAGTCAAAACGACATCTAATTTAAAAAGGAGGTAGTAATAAATAAATAAATGGAAATGCCACAACTATATTTCTTCTTTTGACTACCAACATGGAATTTCAAGAGCACATTAGTTATAAATAAGTACGTAATGGGTAAATTAATTAAATTTGGAGTCTACTTAAAGTAATTTAGCGTGTCAAATAACAATTAGCCGTGTCAATTTCACTGGTCAAATTCGAAGCTTTTGGCAGTTGGTAAATAAAATTATTCTAATTAACTCATGATTTGAAATTGTGAAAGCCACCTTTTAAACTAAAACATGATAAATAAATAATAAATGCATGGCAAATGGAACAATTATATCTCCTCTTCTGACTACCAACATGGAATTTCAAGAGCATTTTAGTTGTATATAAATATAGATAAAGTATAAATTTTGGAGTTTAATTAAGTAATTTTGTTGGTCAAATAACAATTAATCCAATCAATTATATAAGTTCATAAAGATGTGCGTTTTAATTACTCCATACACCCCATCTTTTATAGGAAAAATTATATGCCTGGGGTGGTTGGTAACATAAAATTTGCTAAATAAATATTTTGAAAGTGTGAAAATCACTTTTTTACCAAAACCATTTAAAAAAAAATAAAATAAATAAACAAACAAACAAAGAACAACAATTGGCAAATAAGATATCATGTGGGACGATTATATCTCCCCTTTTTGACTACCAAGTACCAACATGAAATTTTATGAGTATAGTAGCTGTAAATAAATATATAATGAGGAAATTAATCTACTTTAAGAGGCTAAAACAATTAATTATGCTACAACTTTCCCGATGTCGTCAAACGGCCACCCGCAGATGACGGATGGATATAATTTTTTTTAACCTTTGTAATTAATTATAATTAAATATATCACGTGATTTACGGATGGATATAATTTTATAGAGAAAATTGTAAATTTGGTCCCAGAATTTTTTATGTTTTCCACATTTGGTCCCAAACACGCCAATTATGGTCGTTTTTTAATTTTCGTTACCAAATTGGTCCCACGTCCGTCAAGATTGACGTGGCTCATATGAGGACGTTAGATTGCACAAATTTCGCAAATTTTGGGACCAATTTTGCAATTTTTCCAAAAGAAAAAAAAAAGAGTTCTTCAAGTTTTTCAAGTCTCTCTCATTCACTCAAAGCGGAAATGACATAATAAAATTAATTTACTATGAATATGATGCGAGAAATAAATATTAAAAATAATTTTATAAAAATAAATATTGATTGAAAAAGTAAGGGCGTTGATAAATTTTAATTTGGAGTAGAAAAGTAAACGATATAATTGCTAATTGAGTGGTATTTATTTTATTTTCTAATATTTTTACCGTCATTACTTAAAAAATATTGACAATTATTTGAATATTATTAAATTAAATAATAATTAGAAATAATATTATTTTAATTAAATAAAGCAAACCAAAAGACATAATCAAATTTATCAAAATAAGAGAAAATGTGAATATGCTTACAATAATACTAATCCGTCTACACTTTTAAATATTAGTATAATGTGATAATTTATATATATACTTACAAACTTTATAAAATAATACGAATTAAAAAAAAAAAACCCAATCTAAACTATTTTTTTATTACTGTCTATTTTTATTTTAATATTTTTTATTTATTAATTTGATTTTGACAACTATAAATTGAAGAATCTATTTATTTATGCAAATTACATCTACATATAAAATTTCAATTTTAACCATAATAAAACAAAATTTGACATTAAATTAAGTGAAAATAGACATTTGCTCCCACTTATTTATAGTAAAATATATCATATATTTTTTTTGCATCTCATTTATCATGAACTAATTAATAAAATTAATTTATACACCTTTTGTTAAGTTACCCAATTAAATAATCATTTTATGTAAAAAAATCAAGTTAAACTTTAATTTACAATAAAAAATATGAAAGAATTGTATGTTAGTTATATTTATCTTTTATAATTTATTATAAAATAAACTAAATGTATTGTTAGAAAAGAATGGTAATATACCTTTTTAACATTTACTAAAAACTTTTTAAAAAAAACGTTTTTAAAAAAAAATTAAATAATTTCTATCACTTACTCTTTGAGAAAATTGCAAATTTGGTCCTAGAACTTTTGTTGTTTCCCACAATTGGTCCCAGGCTATAAACGTTGAATGTTAAGTCTTGACGGAGTGAGACCATTTTGGCAACGAAAGTTTAAAAAGGACATAATTGACGTGCCTGGGACCAAATTTGGGAAACAACAAAAATTTTGGGATCAAATTTATAATTTTCTCTAATTGTGTATGACGTTTGTAATTAATTATATTAAATATATCACGTGATTTTGTTGGTATTGTACAAGATAAAAAAAAAAAATTTAAAAACTATGTAACTAAAAGTAATTCCTCCACCAACTATTATCGATTAATGTTTGGCCGAATAAAAATAGGAACGGAAATGGCCGATTAGAATAGGATATGTAGGAATGTATCATCACGGGATTTAGACTCATAATATCATAAATATCAAATGATAGAAATAAAATATCAAAGATTAAAGGAGTACTTAAATCATTGGTATTGGTTATCAAGACGTGAAATGTATTAAATTATGAATTGTATCATCCTTAACATAACATTGATCGAGATGTACATCAGTGAGAGTAGACAATGCAGATCGTGAACATTATTAAACAGTGGATGAGAAGCGGAAAAAAATTTCTACGTATTTTTTTTTTTTCTAACAACAAAAGGCAGATGTGTATGTGCCGGGAGAATTTTTATATAGTAGATAATAATATTTGAACTACAAAACAAATTAATCCTCCCCATACAAAACAACTTACAAGATGGTGAATTATATAAAATTACAAGTCAACCATAAATAATTACAAAATAAACCATAAATAAATGTTAACAATATCTAAATATTTATTAAATGAACTTTGGATAAATCTTAAATCATGTTAATCATGTTGAACGCATGTAAATCGAAAATTAATTAAAAAAATCAATCAACAAATAGTTTAATTTTTTTACGTAANAAATAGGGTGTATGCCTTCACCATGGGAAGAAAAATAAATGTAGTGAGGCTTGGAATCTTAAAATAGAACGAAAACATAAAAAACCACACCAGCAAAGCAAATTTATTACTGAAAGAAAAAACCATTACCCATACCTGACCCAATAATATTCATAATTTCGTATCTACAAAACAAACCATAAAATAAAAAAAAAAAAAACGAAAAAGAAAGGTACTGTCAAGCAATTATACTTGCACCAAACGAATTTAAAGCAAATTAGCATGACTATTGTTGAGATATCATCTCCAAGGCCACTGTCCAAACTCCAAATGTTGTTGCTAATTATGGCTTAGGATTTATTCATCCAGTTTTCTGGAAAGTGTAATCACACCTTAACTTATTTCAACATCAGCATATGCAAATTGTGAAAAAAGAAGAACAAATTCTGGACAGAACTAATAATAATAGATAATACACACCTAAAATTCTCTTAGTCAGTAGACCACCAAATATACAAAGTCTTATTATTGCATCTAATCAGAATCCCTCTTATAAACAAAGAAAAAAAACACACAATACTTTTTTCTGCAAATCACAACAAAGCTCACTCATCATCGACAGCTGATCCCTGAACGCACGCGCAAAACCGCGTCTTTTTACGCCTCTGCCCCTGGCCCGTCGCCCTTCCGTACAGATAATCCTTGAGCAAAACCCTTCTTTTCCCTTCCCACATCCCATTCTTAACATCATCCATCTTCATCAAAACAAACTGCAGCCTCTGCACCTCCATCTGTAGCCTCCCGATTTTCTCCGACATCCTCCGCGCACTCCTCGACACTCTCGCCGCGCCACCCTCGTTCTCAAAGTCAAACGACGTTGACTTTTCCGAAGAAAACGACCTGTCGTCAACGCTCTTCATCAGCCTCCCGTTCAGCTCCAACAACTTCGTAACTGCCGAGTCAGCCTCCTCGAGCTGCCCCTTGAGAGCTTCGCACTCGACAACCGCTTTTCCCCTTTTGCCCTTCTCAGTTGCCTCAAGCTTCCTCTTTAAATCCTTCACCGTGATCTGGAGATTCGCGAGCTTCTGCACGTCAGAGTCGAGCCTCTCCAGGACCTTTAAAGACCCGTTCGACCTTTTCGACATTTCCAGCTTGTCCGGGGGCAGAAACGTAATTTTCTGTTTCTCGATGGGTTCGCGACGGTGGAAGTCGACGGTTTCGGTTATTTTCTTTGACGAGCCATCGGATACCTGATCGAGGACGATGTCTTTGGTAAGGAGGGTATTTTCGTCCTCGATTATCTCGGAAGTGGGCACGCGTCTGTTGCGCCAGGAATGCCCGTTTTCGGACTGTAGGGACTCGAGTTGTTTTGTGGTGTCGAGTAGCTTGGAGTGGAGATCGGTGTTTTCGTGAAGCATATGGTCCTTTAGTTCGGATGCTGCCTTTGTGATGGCTTGGAGCCTAACCGTTAGTTCGTGCAAGTCGGCAGCACCGCCACTTAGATGTCGGGATTTATTACTATTGTTGGCATCCTGAGAAAAAAATCGTTCAAGTCAAGTACATAAGCTTTATAAGGGTGTGACTGATTATAAACTTAACAAAAAAAAAAAAAAATCAATCAAAACTCAAATTTAACTGAACTTTAACTCAACTCCACTATCCTCAAAATTATCAATATAATTAAATTATAATTATAATATCAGTCAATCATTCTTGCACATCACATCAACTTTAATTCACTATTCATCCACTCACATAATTTTACCATCACTTCCAATCATTTTTCTCAATACTTTTACATCAAATCAACTTTAACTATTTTATTTTAATATTTTAATTTAAACTTAAATTCCTGTAGTTAAAAAATAACCAATCAAATCCATATTCAATCACACCCGTTTAGGTTATCTCAGCTGTGCAAATTTCATAAAAAGGCTTATAGAAGTTGTGTTGTGCTTGTGTGAATGAAGCATTTTTAGCGAGCTTAGTGTCACACGAAGTTACCTGCAGATCCTCATTCTCAGGATTCGGAAACTTGATATGTATATCAGTTTGGTTCTCAAGGGATGATATACATTCCTTTAACAAAAGAATCTCAGGACCATATGCAGCCAATTGAGTCTTGAGCTCGTTATTCTGATCCATATAGCCAAGACACGCATCATTTAGCTCACGGAACTTCTGCTCATAAAGAAGCTGACTGACCATTAAGCACTGCAATTTACCAAAAACGTCTGCAGCTTGAATCTCCAACTCATTGATCTCATTCATCTTCTTTTGCAGTTCAGCACTCGAAATTTCTTCTTGGACTTTTTTCAACTCATGTTCGTCTTGAATTTTCTGCAGATCAGCTTCCAGCTTCTGACTCGCATCAGTCAACAAATTATTCTCCTTCCTCAAATGTTCATTATCTGCGGATAGTTTGAGAATGTAATTCTCTTGGCGAGTGCAAGCCGTCTTGACCTCATTGTAGTCCACTTTCAAACTTTCCACACTCTCGTTTAGCTCCAGTTTTTGTTTTTCAACAAGGATTATCTTTTCTTCTGCTTCTTGGAGTCGCAGTGCCATTTCATTCAACAACTTCTTACCATTTTCGATCTCAACACTCAACTGATCTCTGTCTGTGACAGCAAACTTAATCTCCTCCTCGGTTTTCTGTAGTCTCTCGTTGAGTTTAAGATTTTCAACTTTCGATTCTTCCAACTTTTCCTCTGTTGAGCTCAACTTTCCCGTTAGAGCAGCATTCATATGGTGAAGTTTATTACAATCATCCCAAATTTCTCTAAATACCACAGTTTTCTCATCGGCAAAGAATTTGAAAATCAATGTAAGATTCTCTAAAGCTAACAGTTTACTATACAGAACATAATTTTCCTCTTCGAGGATATTATTCTTTCCCTCCAAATGCTGGATATTATCCATTAAGGATCTCTTCTCCAGTGCAGTTTCAGATTTCTCTCTGTGCATGTCCACCAGCTTCACATTTAAATCCTCAACCCGACTTAACAATGCTTCTTTCTCATGCTCTATTTTGTCTTTAACTGCCTCGAGAATTTTAAAATCGAGTATTAATTGCCTAATACATGCTACAAGAACCGACGATTCAACAGACACCCACAGATTTTCTTCATCGACTTTTCTGAGGGACTCTTTCAAAGTCTGAAGTTTATCAAACAACTGTCTGACATAAAACTGGTCTTGTTCAGCTTTATCCTCAAATGCACAATTGTCTACAATGTCCAGAACTCCCAACAACTGACGATGTCCCACCCTCAGACTACTAACTTGATCTGTCAAAGATCTGATTTCAGATTGTTGCTCCATACTCTTCTGCTCTAACAGTGAAATCTTCTTCTCTGAAAAACTGGATTCTTCCAAGAGCTTCTGGTTCTTAACGAGCAACGAGCAGTTATTTTCTTTCAGCGCCAGAGCAGTTGTGCGCAAGACAAATATCTCGATTTCACTGAATATGACGTTGTCTAGCACTTGATCGAGTTCTACCTTTCTCTGTCGGCAGTCTTCTTGTAAAAGGCACACCTTAGCTTCAACTTCATTTAACCGAGTTTCGCTCATCTTAATGTAGCTTGCATTTTCTCGCCTTTCTACGTCCAAAGACATATTCAGTTCATCAACTTTTCTAAGAGTTGATTCTTTCTCTTTCTCCAGATTTATGCATCTCCCTTCAAGTTCTGCATAGAGCTTCCCGAGATGATCGAGCTCTGTCCGAGTGTTCTCCAGCTGAGAAGCCAACCCATCTTTCTCACTCATCAGCCCAGACTTCTCCTCAACAAGCAACTGACACGAATCTTCCAAGACTTTCGATTTAGCCATCAATGCTTCGAGCTGCTGGTGCACGTTGGAAAGCAAATTCTCGAGAACAGTGTTGTTCTTCGAGAGAGTCTCCAGATTCTTGTTGGTCTCATCTAATTGTGATGCAAGCGTGCATTTCTCTTCAAGAAGAGTCGATTTCTCTTCCGAGAGCACTCGGCACATGTTTTCCAGCTCTTCTATCTTCCCTCTTACGGCTTCCAGCTCAGCATTCAAATCCGAGAGCGAAGTTTCTAGGAGCAAATTTTTCGCAAGGAGCTGCTCGAAAACTGCCAGCTTCTCCAAGAGCGCTGCTTTTTCGCCACTCTCCCTCTGACAAGTCTCCTTCAGAAGGGAATTCTCATCCTGTAGTTCATTCACCTGGTCCAAAACCGAGACGTGCTTCCCATTCAGATCTTTCAGCTCTTCTTTCAGACAATATATTTCCTGCTGAAGCGCGTTTCTCTGGTCAAGCCGGAGCTCAACTTCTTCCTCAAGTTTCCCTTTGGATTGCATCAAGCTAGAAATCTCGTTCTGCATGTCTTTTATCGACACCACAGATGCTGCATTGAACTCGTCAAGCTGCTTGTTCTCCTCCTTAACCTTCATAAACTCATCCTGCAAATCCCGATTTTGAGACTCGGCAGCTTTCAGAAGCTGAGCCCTGTTATGAAGCTCAGAAGCCGTAGCTCTGAGCTCCTCCTGAGTCTGCGCGTGTAAATGCTGCAGAGTCTGGAAAGCAGTTTCAGCCTCCACAAATCGCAAACGTTCTTCTTGCACGCAAGCCCAAAGTCTCCCTAGTTGTTTCTGCTTTTCGGTAAGCTCTTGTGTTTGGGTTCCAAATTTCAGAATCAACAATTCGAGTTCAGTATTAAGGGACTGGTTTGACCTCTCTAGCAGAAGACACTGTTCTTCAGCGGTTTTCAATTTCGAGACTCCATTTTCGACCTCGACATTTAGGCGCTTGGCCTCCTCATTGGCGAGCGCAAGTTTTTGCTCAAGACTCGAAATCATATGTAAACATTGTTGGTACTGCTCGGCCGCAGCTTCTTTTTCTTCGGTCAGTTTGGAAATGGTTTGCCCGAGAGTTTCAACTTCGCTTTCGGCTTTTCTGGCCCTCTCTTTGAATCTCGTGGCATCTTCCTCGGCAAGCCGTAACTTATTCTCCAGACTAGATATTGTCTCTAACGACTGCAAATATCGGTCGAGAGCGGCATCCTTCTCGGTGGCTAGCTTGTCAAGTTCGCCTTTCAGGGATTCGGTTTCGATTTCAGCAGTATTGGCTCTTTCATTGAGTTTATCAACGCTTTTTTGGTAGTCTTGAAGCTTAGACTCCTTTTCGGCTTCTAAAGTGGTGATTCTTTCCTTAAGGATGGCAACTTCATTTTCAACTTCCTTCGTATGATCGGTGAGCACTTTGAAATCCTCACGGGTATTGGAGATCACGGTTTCGAGCTGGGACAGTTTATCGAGACTCTGCTGGTACTGAACAAGGCCAGCTTCTTTCTCGGCTTCTAGTCTGGCAAGTGCTTCCTTCAACGATAAAATCTCCTCAGACTTGCTTTCCTTGTCGGATTTTGACGAACTTTTATCCTTGATTTGACTCTTCCCATTGCTCAGTTCTTTCTCCTCGACCTCATTGAAAATGAGACCCCTTCTTACGCGCTCGACTGAACGGATAGGGTCATTGAACTGCTTCAGAATCTTCTTTTCAGTGAAAGAATCAGATTCATCAGCAAATTCTCCAATCTGTTGACACCACGAGAACAGATCAAAGTTGCAAAGGCTTTAAAAAAATAATAATAATCATCTCAGCAGTTCATAACAAGTGCTTTTTTGCTTCATCAGTAATTTCAAGGAAAGAGTGACAAGTCTGACATTTTAAAAAATCCAAACATTTTTAACTCAACCATATTTTTTTTTAACTCAAACCTCACTATCCTAAATATTATCAACATAATTAAATAATACCAACTAATCATTCTCACATCACATCACATAAACTTACATAAACTTTAGTTCACTATTCATTCACCCACATAATTTTAACTAGCCATCACTTCAGATCATCTCTCTCCTACTTTTATATCAAATCAATTTTAATTATTAAATATTATTTTAATATACCCACTAACAACTAGCCATACAAATTTTTTTTTTTCAAAATTAACCAAACCAAACCAAAAATTCTAAACAAAACAAAAAATTCTGATATCCAAGCATCCCCTAAGGAAAAATGCTTTTTTTCTGAAATTACTGTTATACCTGTTATAAATGGTAAAAGTGTGTATAATGCACCATTTCAAAAACTATCACTTATGTCCAAAATCATTTTGATGCAAACAAACTCCTGTGATTAATTAACAGTGTATCCTGCAACTTATGAAGTTCTATATGTATGATTATAGTGATCTGGATGGAGTATTTAGTAATTACAATAACTCAAGTGCTTTTAAGTGACAAATGATTCTTTCGATTTCCATGTAATTTCATCAACTTAATAGCACCACTTCATCAAAACCCCAAGCACGACGAGCATATAACCATTTGAGAATCATCCTGTTACACACATGACACACATACCGGGGTCGATATATCGGGAGTCTTGGGATCAGCACTCGCTGGGGACTCATCACCAAACATCAACGGCACTTGATTAGGGAAGGCCTCCGACATGGTGCGGTGGGCGTGCCTTATGACGCCAGTCGCATGATCATACCTCTCGGCCAGCGCACGGTAAGCCCTATAGAACTCCTCCACCATTTTCATCAGCTCCGGTCTCTTCTTATAATACATTTCGGCCCTCCTTGCGAAAGAATCAGCATCCTCCTCTATCAGCTTTATCATCGACTTTACTTTGGAGTCCATATCTGCAAAAACACAAAAAACAACGAGATTTGATTT